GTACCGGAACTGCCTGTAAGAAACTCGAGTCATTCATGACAAAAACCATAAAACACTTTATTGTTTATGATTATCATTCAGGTTTCATTAGACCGATTGAAACTATTCACAACTGTGTTAAATAACATTAAATATATAATCCCAACCAATTGGCATTTATGGTACTTTGCATCCTAGATTTGAATAAGTTCAAATATTAATTAGAAGTTGAGCGTGACCTTCAGATGATGTAGAGTATTTGTTACATCCCAACGAAGAACAAATGGAAAAACAAGATCCTCTAACACAACACGGAGAACAGCAATCCAGTCACTCTTGATGGCGAAACTCTGGAAGATGTGGAATCCTTCACATATCTGCAAAGCATCATCGATGAACAAGGAGGTTCAGATGCAGACGTAAAGGAAAGGATCGGCAAACCAAGGGTCGCATTCCTACAATTGAAGAACATATACAACTCAAAACAACTTTCCAATCAATATCAAAGTCAGAATTTTCCATACGAACGTCAAGACAGACAGTTTTACTGTATGGAGTTGAAACATGCAGAGCTACTACAATCACCATCAAGAAGGTACAAGTATTTATAAATAGTTGTCTACACAGCATACTCAACATCCATTGACCGGATATCATCAGTAACAACCTACTGTGGTAGAGAACAAAACAGCTTCCATCTGAAGAGGAAATTAGGAAAAGACAATGGAAATGGATAGGACATACATTGTGGAGATCATCAAACTGCATCACGGAGCAAGCCCTAACTTGTAATGCTGAAGGGAAACGGAAAAGAGGAAGGCTAAAGAACACATTACGTGAAGAAACAGAATTAGATATGAAAAAGATGAATAACAACTGGAATGAGCTGGAAAGGATTGGGAAGGACAGGGTTGGATGGAGAGTGCTGGTGAGCGTCTTATACTCCTCCAGAAAAGGGTTAACAGGAGTAAGTAAGTAGTCACATACATCATCATCGGAAAATTATAAAGTAACTACATTATCTGTTTCTATATTCCTTCTATCATAATCTTTCCTGTGATCTATTAGCTACTGTTATCCGATTTATAATTCTTAATTTATTCCTAATCTATTGGTTACAGTCTCCCATACTGACAGCCACTCCGGGCTTGATCTTGTGTGATTATTACTTTTTATTTTATGGTTTAATATGGTCTGGTCTGCTTGTATATAAACAATCTATGTCTGAAATATACGATTCATAAAGTGAAGACTGAGATTGTGTTCTGGACTGAATGAGCAAGGCTGTTAGGTATGTTACTATATCAGAGTTGACGCAATGCTGTTGCTGCTGGTTGTCATGTCATTGGTTTAGCACAAAGACAAGGTTATGTCACATGATAACTCATAGGAGCAAAAGTCATAACAATATTTATGGCCGAAAAGGAGAGATTTGGAGGTGGTGTTATTGGGGCACAGTGGTAATAGACTTTGTACTATTATCTAAATATAATATATGGGATGATAGAGAATACATTTATTATTAAAATGGGGTTTTGTGGAGATTTTAGTGATTTCATTAGTTGAATTCATGAGTTGGTTTAAGCTAGGGCACTATTGAAAACCTGGAAGTACTGGACGGCCGTTTCGTCGCAGTATGAGACTCCATAACAGTGTGCAAGTACGATCTTGTATTCGAAGCTCGAATCCAGGATCGCGAACGCTTAAACTGTAGACTACGTTGACCCGCGATCCAACAGTGTTAATGTCTAACAAATGTAGTATAATCCATTCCAGGTAGAGACAGGTATCTGCCCCCAAATGCCCTGCTACGGCTGAGAGTTGGGAGAGTCCGCTCTCCCTCTCGAAATGCTCTCACATGGCCATGTGTATATAGCCTCTGCCAGGGAAGTCCTACTCACTGCCTTCTCGTGGCACTACTGTTGTTTACGAAAATGAAAGGACAAAAAGCGTATGTCCGGCGCTTCACCCGGATTCTAAACCAATGGTGCACATGGGCTCCAGTATCCTGAAGGAACAAATGGCGTATGAACCAATTGTTGGTCACCGGCTACCATGGGACTGCATCTCCTTACGATGCTCCACTGCCTTGTGAATCAGACCTTCAGGTCGAAGGCTACGGGTGTGGCCCCCTAAGGAAACCACCTAGTTCGGTGTGAGCACCCGGGCAGTATCACAGCCCTCACACATATCGAATGAGATTTGTGTGGCGCATATATATTTGGTGCCTCCTTGTACCAATATCTATGTGTTAAAATAATAATAATAAGGTATCTATCTCAGATAATGGATGAATGTTTGCGCAAGATCATGAATCGATTGAAGTTAGACAGTAACATCTTTGGATGCCGATTCAATGGTCTAGAGGTTCAGCGTTCAAAAGTGAGGATAACGGTCCTGGCTTTGAGCGCTGCGTGGGGGGTTGTGGATGCGTATTGCTAATGAGTCACATAGTAGAATGAAACGGCCGTGCAATCCTTACAGGTTTTCAGTGGTGGTCTAACTTATATCGACTCGTGAATTCAGATATATTTATTGTTGAATTTCGTATCAATAAATCAAATGTTTCATGTTCATTGTGTGATTTTACGATAGTCGGTTTAAAATTAGATGAGAAAGTATTAGATTATTTGTTAGTTAACTAGTATAAATATGAATTAGATTATGGCGACTATCCTACAACCACTTTCGATTACGGTTAATTTCGGTTAGACCCTTTTATTAACTTACTTAACAGGCAATGTTATTTGAATAGTAAAAATTCGCATATTTCTTTGTGCCGTTGCAAGGCCAGTGAAATGTCACTGAGCCCTAGCCAAATCATCTGGATGTTAGGTCACTGAACATCGAACAGATCATCGATCTCTGTAAAGGTCAAGGATAACCAACGTGCATCAGCTAATCATACGCCATGGGCTTGTGTCTACTTTAACTAACTGTAATAACGTCCTTTGTGTTGTAGACTTTAAAATATCTATAATACCTTAATACGTCAATGGGGTAGTCTACGTAAGGTGCTGACGACGAGGTGTAACTTCGACGTTAGCTGGTTCGTTACACCATTTCCGTTGAACTCGAGTAGGCTTCCAATCATTCGATATAGGTCATCTTCATTGGTGATTACTAGATCACATAACAGACTCTAGCTAAAATATTGATTGCATAACTATCACTCAATGATTCATCCTCCTCCCCATGTATGTATGTATGTATTTAAATCCTATTATTAGTCCTTGCTTTGCATTGTTGAACTCTTATGCAATTTGGCTATAAATTTGCCTATGAGCTTATAGCTTTTTGATCTGTGCTATCCTTTTCACCTTTTGACTTTAATCACCGTTCAAATTTATATTATAACAGCTATTAAGGTGATCGATTATTGAAGCAAAACCACTACAAAATGTTTACTAATCCATTTTATCCAATAGTTCTTTATTAGTATTTACATCAGCCCTTGTGGTCTGGTTTGTGACGAAATCTCAGCACGGATACAGAAGGCTCGACTAGCTTTTGCCAACTTGCGTCATTTATGGAGTAGGCGAGATATCCGTCTATCAACCAAAGGACGTGTTTACTGCGCAGCAGTTCGTTTCGCCCTACTTTATGGCAGTGAAACATGGCCGGTAAGAGTAGAGGATATTCGTAGGTTACTAGTATTCGATCATAGGTGTCTTCGAAACATCGCTCGTATATCCTGGGACCATCGAGTAAGTAATGCAGTTGTTAGGAAACGGGTACTAGGTAAGGATGGCAAATCAATTGATGAAGTAGTGAAACTTCATCAGTTGAGATGGCTGGGACACGTGTTACGTATGCCCAACCACCGACTGCCTCGACGTTCGATGTTCAGTGGTATAGGAGTAGGTTGGAAGAAAGCTAGGGGCGGCCAGACCAAAACATGGCACAAGTCCATGAAGTCACTGACAAGTGAACTGAGTCATGTTGGTAGGTGTAGATTACCTGGTTGGGGACCGCGAGATGATAGCAACCGATGGTTAGAGACCCTGAATGATATGGCTCAAAATCGTTTGCAATAGCTTAGGTGCATCCACTCTTTGTGTTCGCCCAAATTCTAATCTTCTGAATTCTTGATGTCCCTTTCTTTTTTTCCTCTTTTCAAATTTATTTAACCGGATTATACTCCTTGAATAACATCTTCAAACCCTAATTTTTCTGATAACAGGTTATACTTTCACTACCTCTATCACTATGGGATTCGAATCGACAACTGCATCTCTGTGTTAAGGTGGTATGGCAACTCGAACTGATGTACGTACGTACGAAGTTCTACGTTGTTACTGACTGACTACTGACTGAGTAATTACATAATTGTGAAATGAAAGTAAATATATGACATTATAGAATACTCTGAAAATATACATGAAGTAAATATGTTGTTTTTTTTTAATTGAACCATTCAATAATACTTCTTAAATGCTTCTGTTACTAAGCTAATTATTATTGATTTTAACTCATAATAAAAATCACTTTAACGGAATACACATAACTACGCAAACCAATTTGATTGTTTTTTGTTTTGTGTGGTTTATTGTAACATACCTACTGAAAGTACCATGTGAACAACAAAATAGGTAAACGTCTTTTCTGTTTCTTCTTCTTTTTCCTTTTTCTTTTTGCCTTAATTCACTACTAAATTTATAAATAATTGACATATTACGATACATTTACTCTCTCTCTCTCTCACACACACAGACACACACCAACACACGCACGCACGCACACAGACGCACACGCACACATACACACACATATATTAGAAAATCAAGAACATACATTTTTGGTATGTGTAGTCTGAATATTATCAATCATCATTTGTAATTTGTAAATAGTCCTTTATAGATTTGTTCATATAATTTAAGTGTATTATTCTCCTTATAATGATTTCATCATTATAGAGTTACATGTCTATTGTTACATAACAATTATAACAGCTTAGAAAGAAGAAAAAAAGAAGAACAAAAACAAGATTCATTCATCTCATTATCATTCGATTATAAATCATGATGAAATTTCAGTTGACACAAAGATTTTGGTTCCTTGTATTCATTATATTGAATTGTTTTGTTGCCGTAAGTAAATATTTAATTTTTATGAATATTATAATGATTTTAATAGTTGAGATCATGAATCGATTAAAGCTAGATCATTATGAAAAACCTAGAAATATTGAACAGCTGTGGTCTAATGGTTCGAATCTCTTGAGGCAGTATCGTGGATATACACTGTTGTGGATGAAACGACCGTTCAATGCTTCCATATTTTCCATGGTTGTCTAGCTTCAATTGATTTATGATCTGAATCGTTGAAATCTTTAATTATTATCAGAAAGGGGGGGCAGTTTTATGGAGATTTTAATCATTTTAATAGTTGAATTCACATAATTCAATTAAAGTTAGACCACCATTGAAAACCTAGAAGTACTGAACAGCCATTACATCCTAATATAGAACTTTTTAGTACTACACATCCACAATGAAACAATCATTCAGTACTTCTTAGTTATCCATGATGTTTCCCTTTTTCTTTTTAAAATCTTATACTAACTTCTATTCTATTCTTTTGTATTCTATTCTGTTCTCTTCTAGGTAACAAGTTTTATATTATTTGTATTAAGTATAAAAGCCGAGGATAATCTACTTAAATATAAATTAATATTACAATATACAATACCAGCAATTTATCCAACAGGAATATTTACAGGAAGTCTTGGTTTAATAACAGCATGTTTAGGATTTTTTGGATTATGGAAACAAATGAATATTTTATATCTTTTAGTAAGTTTTTTTTTTAATTTTCACTTGGATACAATCAATTTTTTATATTTTAGCATGTAATTTGTTTGTCCTTAGCAACAATCATCAATCTATGTATAGCTATTGTAACACTGATAACTGATCATCAAGTTAGTTGTAATAGAATTATAATTAAATATTTATTATAGTTTTTTATAAATGCTAAAGAAGCATTAAATACTACTATTAAATATTATTATAAGAATGATGAATATGCAGATGAATTTGATGAATTACATAGAAAAGTAAGTTAATTCAATGGTGGAATAGATTTGTAGCTCAGATGGATGATTTTGATAAAGTTTTGTTCTCTGAACTAGATGGTTTATGTCGTAGAGCTTTCGTCGTTCTTCTACTTCAGGTAGAAATTTGTGCTGATGATGTCATTCCGAAGAAGAACGATGAAAGCTTCACGACATAAATCATCCAGCTCAGAGAGCAGAACTCCATCAAAGAGTTAATTCAATGTTAGATAATGTTTCATTGTTGTTGTTCTTTTTTTTTAAAATAGTTTTTCTGTTGTGGAGTTAATTCGTATGCTGATTTTAAAAAAGCTAAAGTATTAATACCATTCTCGTGTAGAGTTGGTCAGTATGTTTATGCAAGTGTAAGTCAGTATTTATTTAATTTTTTTTACATTTGTATAATAAGCTTATTTTAAATTAGACATTAACATTGTTAGATAATGGCTCAGTGGTCTAGAGGCTAAGACTCCGATCGCGAGATTAAAGGTCCTCGGTTCGAATCTCGTATGTGGTATCATGGATATGCACTACTGTGGAGTCTCATATTAAAACGGAACGGTTGTCCGTTGCTTCCAGGTTTTCAGTGGTGGCCTAACTTTAATCGAATCATGAATTCAACTATTAAATTACTACAATTTCTTTTTCTCTCTCTGTATATATACAAGGTTTTATGATGGATAGTGTTTTTTTCTGGGTTCCTCGTCAACCTTAAGAAGTGTTGAAATCGACATTATATGCTTTAAGAATTAACAGGGCCGTGAATGCGCACTACTGAGAAGTCCCATAATAGGACGAAACGGCCGTCCAGTGCTCCCATGTTTTCCATGATTGTCTAGATTCAATTGACCGATGATCTAAACTATTGAGATTTACAGGATGTTTCACCTGTTGGACACCCATTACCAATGTAGTATAATAATACATTTAAATTAGGATAAATCTATTCACTTTGCGAAGCTGACTTCCAAGTTGTCGAAAATCTTTTGCTAAAATTGACTTAACAGTAGAACGCCGCTATACATTCGAATTCTGATAATTAGACACATAATACTTTTATTGCCATAAACATTGAATCATTATTTAACAGATCATGATATTAGAACTTTTAAACTCATGTCTTAGCATTTATTGAGCTCTAGTGGATATAATTTGGAAGTCATCATTCCATGACAATCTAATTTGTATTCCGGAAATCATATGAAGTTTTCATAGTTATGATCACTTACCATATTTCATTGATGACTACTGAGATAGTTGAACCATAACTTTTTATCTATGCAAATACATGAGTCGGACCATTTAATAAACACCAACATTTCGTGTAATACTTAAAAGAAAGTACTTTTGATCACTTCCCTCATCAAGTAACAAATCAATGGAATCACATCATGAACTCAACTGAAAAAAATCATTAGGATTGTAAATTGAATACATCAATATTGTAATTACTTTAAATGAAAATCAAGATGGTGCTAAACGTTGTAGTCTGTTCATTAGGTTAAGTGAAATAAATTACAAATTAACTATGCAAACTGTCTATTTCAGCTTTGAATATAAATCCCAACAACTTACACTAAAGTGGTTAAGTCGATAAGCAAGAAGGCTAAATATCAGTTTCTAAGTGAAAAAAAAACAACCGAAGAATTAGTTTTCTTCACTTCTTATTGTGAATTATTTTTCATTATGTAATAGGTTACACAGTTCCGGCGGATGATATACTAATATAACGCATTAATTCATATGAAAGATAAGTTGAGTTGTGTGTAACAAACGAAAACATCTAAGCAAAGATGGATAGTGGCTAGCAGTGGAATGCAGGACTCGTCAGCTGGGTGAACCTGGATCTCAGATGTTGATGTTTACTCTGGGACTCGAACTCAATATCGTTTACTTTAAATGCCATCACGTTCGTTATCCACTTAGCTACTGAGTCCTGATACCTATCTAATGTGAAATGGGGTGAAGTTATATTCACTTGGTATTTTTTTACTTAATATTTAGGACTGCAATTGATCAGTCACTATCCATCTTTGCTTAAAAAGCTTGTGACTTAAGGCTATATCGAGGCAATCCGCATAGGATGCATACATACCAACGAGAGATTGATCGATCGCAGTTTTAAATAACAATGGTATGATACAAGTAAACAACATCAAGTGAAGAAAACATCTAAATAAATTCTAAACCTAAGAAAAGATATGATCTTTAGACATTGATTTTAATCTAGACTGAGATACAATATCTGAACTTTTGTTATCGTTAAACACTGGTAGCAATTAGAAGCGATTGTAACTGGTCATATTCACAATCATGCTTATACATAATTCCTTTCTTACATTACGAGTTATTTACTTTACTTCATAAGGATGGTTGGAAGAAAGTAAGGGGCGGTCAAACCAAAACCTGGCATCAGTCCACCCAGTCACTAACTTCTAGTCTGAGCCATGTTGGCAGATGCAGACTACTTGGTTGGGATCCGCGTGACTATCGTAACCAATGGTTGGGGACTCTTGGTGACATGGCTCAGAATCGATCACAATGGCGTCGGTGTATACACTCTCTGTCTCCCCTTAAACTAAGAGATTAAAATCGCTTCATATCTTTCTTTCTACGAACTAATTCTTTCTTCCTGTACTATATCCTTATTGTAATCTTTCTTTTATATATTACCACCTCTGAATTAACTACTTTTATTAATCTGGTGTTCATCTTGTTGTGTTAATGAGGTATGGCAACTTGGACCGATGCACATATGTGCCTGGTCCTACGTTGTAGCTGACTGACTGACTTCGTAGGGATACTTTCGACACTAACTCCCACCAAGTTCGTTGAAAGTGTTATATATATTGCTATTATTGTTATTAACAAGTCCTTCATTCTATCCAGTGTTAGCTAATAACGTTCTACAAGATACGTTGACTAAACTCAGGAACAACAATATCACTGATGTATCTTATTTATGCAATTCATAGTAATCAAGACGAATGTAAATAAACAGAGATATAGATACTCATTATATTTTATTCTGATACTCGACAAGAATATGTATTCCCATTTGATGTGCATATAGTTACTAATATAAAGCAAAATAATTAATCAGTCAGTCACAACGTCAGACCAGGCACATATATGCATCAGTCCAAGTTGCCACAATTCATTAGCACCCCAATGGTAGTAATGCATTAAAGAAAGATTGTGTATAATGATATAGTACAGGAAGAAAGATTTAGTACGAAGAAATAAAGTTATAAAGCAATTTTAATCTCTTAGTTTAAGAGATAACAGAGAGTGTATACACCTATGTCACTGTGATCGATTCTGAGCCATATCATCCAAAGTCTCCAACTGTTGGTTACAATAATCACGCGGACCCCAACCAAATAGTTTGTATCTACCAACATGGCTCAGATCAGAATTTGGTGAGTTCAAACACTGATGCCACGTTTCGGTTTAGCCGCGCACCTAACTGTCTTCCAACCGTCTCCAACACTAGTCAGCATTGCGCATCGTGGTAATCAATTTTCAGGCATACGTAACACGTGGCCCAACCATCTCAGGTGAAGAAGATTCACAACGTCATCAACTGATTTACCATTATTCCCTAATACCTCACTATTACTTACCCAGTGATTCGAGCCGATGCGAGAAATAATACAAAATAACTGTCAGCTGTTTTTATTCGATAAATACAAATCTACTGCAGAGAAATGAGCGTCTTCTGGAGTCAACATTGGCATGTTTATTAAATTAATATGAGGTTAAAATAGATATTCAGTGGAAAAAATGCCGAAATAAATCATTTTCAAAATGGGTTTTGTGGAGAGTTTCAGAAATTTCACAGGTTGAAATCATGAGTCAATTGAAGCTAGATCACCATGGAAAACCTGGAAGCACTAGACGGCCGTTTCGTCCTAGTATGTGACTCCTCAGCAGTGCGCATCCACGATTCCGCACCACGCGGGGTTCGAACCATAACCACTAGACCACTGAGCCGTCATCCAACGGTGTTAATGTCTAACTTCAACCAATCCACGAAGTTGCACTACTGAGGAGTCCCATAGTAGGACGAAACGGCCGTCCAGTGCTTCCAGGTTTTCCATGGTGGTCTAGCTTCAATCGACTCATGATTTCAACCTGTGAAACTTTGATATTAGTTGAAAATTGTTTTTATCGATTGTACTATTATGAAACGTTTTGATTTCTTTCAGTTATTTCATCAAGATCAATATAAGATTTCTTGTTCAATGATTTTGATTATGGATTCATAATCATCATTTACCTTTTTGATCAATTCCATATGATTGATTATATCTTTTTTTCTTTTTTTCTAACTCTCTATTAGGGTTGTTTTGATGAATTAAGTGAATACATACAATATTACATAACATTATTATCATCAATTTGTTTTACTACACCATTTATCTATGCTGTATTCATAGGTGTAGCAATTAGAAATCTTCGTAAATCAATTAAAGGAATAAATTCATCTTCATAATAAAAAAATCAAATATAAATTAAACTTAATGTCATTTCTTTTTAATTTATGAAAAACAAAAAAAGTAACCTTCAATTGTTGCCATGACAATTACATCACAAAAAAATTTGTTTTTAGAATCGTCGACAGATTTTTCTTTTTCTTTTTTTTGTTTTTGTTTTTTTGTCGCGGGATACCAGAGTAAATTTTAAAGCAAATCATGTCAATAACCAAGTTTATTTATTTATTCACATGTATTAGTAACCTGTGATTTTGAAATTGATAGTTAAGTTTAGTTTTCAACACAAAATCTTATATTAACAATAACAAGGTAGATAAATTGAATACAAGAAGATAAGAAGTTAAAGAAATGATCGAACAAATCAACGACAATATAGTCAATAAGAAAATGTCCTATTCCATTGACTATTAATTTAAGTTTATAAGCATCTAGGTAAATATACATATGCTTATTAGTGACTGGATTCACCAGGTATATACCGGAGTTCTAGTGAGAAGCAGTGACTAGTGGAGTTCAATCGGGTCTGTTGTGAGATAATAACTAACTAAAGAAAATGGTGGATGTGTCGCTCAACTTCGTGTGTGTTTTCCCTACAGCTTTTTTCTTCTCATTTCTTTTTTGTTCCGTACTGAAGTCCATTTATCACCACTCAGGACAGCCACACCGGGACTATTTGGAACGGTGACAGTCTTATCAGTTTCGACTAGAGGTGTATGATTGCCGATGTCAGTATCTAGCGGCACTTTACTCCTCGTTAATATTAACGGAGATTTCACTTTCCCGTCAATTGCAGTCGGGTGTTTAGCGGGTCCGGTAGCAGCACTTACTAGATTAACACATTCTTCGCCGTCAGTGCTCGTGCTACCAGCGCTACTGCCATCGTTTTTCTTGTAGGCCAAAGCCAATAGGCTCATAGCCTCCTGAATTAGTAACTTTTTATTTGTACAGCAGAACATACAAAGCCAATGTGAGTTAGGCTTCGAGCATCTTTTGTATGCGATAAGACTTAGACGTGTACGCATCTTATGGTACAACCTTTTACAATCATCGCACTGCATCCCTTCCTCAACGGGGAACAAGCAGTTTGGTTGTTCAAATTTATGAGTCTTACGAACCATTTTAATTTTGATTAAAAAGGTTTAAAACACAAAATGATCACAATATGAACACTAGTGTCAGTCAAGGTTTATTACTGCCTCTTTTCGGGTACATTAATCTGGTTTTAGACTTTTGATTACTATCCCTTCGGGAGTGTATATTTGACTTCATAAATATAAATCGATTCATAATAATAAGATTCATTAGTCACTAGTGAGCATATGTTGATTAATATCAGAAGGGGTTTAGTGGATAATACAATTATTAGTTGAGGTCATGAGTCGATTGAAGCTAAACTACCATGGAAAACCTGGAAGCACTGGACAGCCGTTTCGTCCTAGTATGGGACCCTTCAATAGTGCACATCCACGATCTCGCCTCTCGATATTCGGAAACATGACCTATCGGTCTCGCGCGCGGACCCCTAACTTCTAGACCACTGAGTCGGCATCCAACAGTGCTAATGTCTAACTTCAACTAATCCATGAAATTGAGTGACACATCCACAATTGTCTTCAGTGAGTTACAATTTCACTACAGATCCGGTTGGAGTGCACTAAACGCTGTTTCTCACTAGAACTCCAGGAAATACCTGTTAAAACCAGTCACTAGTGAGCATATGTTGATTAGTAATAGAAAGGGTTTCGTGGATAATACAATTATTAGTTGAGATCATGAGTCAACTGAAGCTAGACCACCATGGAAAACCTGGAAGCACTGGACGGCCGTTTTGTCTTAATGACTGATTATGAACATAGAAAGATTCTGAAAGGTAGTTTGTTTCTTTTAAAAATAGTTGATCATTTAAAATATTAAACTCTAAACTGATTTATCCCTGTTCTCAAGAGACAGATTAGAATCAGATATGTAATAATGTTTAGATAAATAAGTCATAAAGTTGTATGAATTTCGGTGGAGTTCTGTTCGCTGAGCTGAACGGTTTGTTCGTGGAGATTTCACCGTCCTTTTGAATGACATCATCAGGACAAACTTTAATTAAAAGTAGACTTCCGGTTGATGATGCCTCAAACCTTTCCAATAAAATGAATGAAGTTATGTTTTGTATGTGTTTTTGACATGTAACACATAGTTCATTCACAAATCAAGGGACACAGTTACAGTTGACACATGATATAAACCCCTCCTGATACTAATCAACAAATACTCACTAATGAATGAATTCAACAGGTATTTCGTCGAGTTCTACTAAAAAAGCAGTAACCAGTTAAGTTCAACCGGGTCAATTGTGAGATAGTAACTAACTAAAGACATTGGTGGATGTGTCGCTCAATTGCATCCCGGCTCAGTGGTCTAGTTGGTTAAGCGCCTGGCGCGAGACTGATCGGTCCTGTTTTCGGATCTCTCGAGGTTTTCGATGGTGGTTTAGTTTCGATTGATTCATGATCTCAACTGTTGAAATTACTACAATCTCCACAAAACCCCTTCTGATATATATATATATATATATTTGCTTGTTTTAGTGACATTTTGCAAATATACAGATAGTAGTTTTTTTATTAGAATTTGCCAATTAACATTCACGTTTGTTAATCCCTAACTAACTAATCGGCAGCATTTATTGTTTTCCAATGTCTACAAACAAACTGTAAGGTACTACCAAGATTTAGTGATGTCGCTAAGTCAAATTTAAGAATAAACTTTCTTAGTATTCCAAAGCTATTGTAATTTAAACGTATTATTTTGTACGTAATTGTATTTTCCTAATTACTGTACATTGTGATCGGGCTAGTTATCGATTTATTTATGTATCTTTTTACACAAATCTGAAATCGGGAGCCAGATGGGAATTGGGAATAAATAAAGTAGTGTTCCAGTTGACTTGTCAGCCTATCGCATTAACGTCTTAATCTGGATTAGCCAAGTTACCTTTAGCACCAAAAGTGGGTAGACAGATAGTTTCGATCACGAAATTGACTTAGAAAAATTGTTACTTCCTAAAAAAGATATAACGATTTCATGTGTTTGGAATGAGTTGATCAAACCTATATGCAATTGGTTCCCTTTATGAATTTAAATAGAGCAAGAACAAACATTGATGCAGAATAGTATGAATTCATATTATTTCGAGGTTTCTCGTCAGCTGCTTACAAACCAAAATTGTGATAGAATTTTTTTACATGGAGATAGTGTGAAACAATTGACATAAATGAGTGTAAATAACTGGATTACAATAATAACTATATATATATATATATGCTAGAAACAGATCAGAGGTCAACAGAGGGGGATTAATCCAGGGTGGGTGGTGTAATAATTTAGTGAAGCTCATAAATTGTGTGATAATTGTAGAGATTAATAGAATTAAATAATGATAAGGTAGATTACGTAATAATAATTAAATAGGGTTTGGATAGTTAAGATGATTTAAGAGGATCAGGTGATGGAAATGTGTGAATAAAATTTATTCTAAGAATCAGGTAATAGGGCGGGGAGTATAAATTATCTTAGAATAAGTAAATGAATAAAATAACCAAAACACAAAACAAACAGAAACAAAAGGATTACCAGGGTAGTGATAAGTTTATTAAAGTCTCTTTTTGGATGCATAAGTCCGGTTTCAGTTTCTTAATTGCAATGGCTTCAGCAAAGCAGAGAGTGGTAGTAGTTCTTTGTCTATTGATAATTTTAAACGCGCGCATAATATCGACGGTATGCCCGGTGTCAAGTAGATGCCGAGCTATTGCACTGTTAAAAGCTTTAGTCCCTCGCAGCGTCAAATTCTTCGGAATATGCTCAGAAATGCGAACCTGTACTCTTCTCTCAGTTCTTACAATGTATGTGCTACGGCACGTACATGTGAATTGGTAAATGCAGTTGGAGCAAATGAGGGGAGAGGACTTGTCGATTTTCGTTTGTTTCAGTGAGCAGTATGTTTTCCATAACGTAGTCAGTTTGGCTGCCGGGTAGGTCACTTTTAAAGCGGAATTAATTCTGTGATTGATAATTCCGGCGACTTCATCTGCTTTGAAGCGTAAGGATAGGAAGCAGGTTTTCTTTTCAACTGTATCATGCTTAATCGGAGGGTTTGTATTAGCATATTTGTGGATGAATTTATCCGGATATGCATTTTCACGTAGGCATTTGGTGATTGTAGTAATTTCTTCTTCGAGGCATTCTTTTGAGCAGATTTTTCGTGCGCGGTCAAAAAGGTTTCGCACAATACCCTTTTTATAACTCATTGGACAGAAGCTGTTAAAGTTGAGATAAACTCCGCTCCAAGTATTTTTGCAGTGAATGTGTCTTTGTAGTGTGCCGTCTGATGTTCGCCTAATTCCAATATCTAGGAAATGGAATTTATCATCAACTTCATGTTCCATGGTAGATTCTATATCTTTGTGTACTTTATTGAACAGACTAAGTAGGTACATGGAGTGTTGGTGATTTTTGCAGACAAGGAACGTGTCATCCATATATCTGCAGTAGAGTGTGGTTACTTCCTAAAAACAATATAACGATTTCATGGGTTTGGAATGAGTTGATCAAACCTATATGATTGTACTGACATACATTTGTTAATATTTCCAAGTTCAATCAACTCACTAGTTAGCATATTCATCATCCATTGCATTCGATGATATTCACCTGACAGGAAGAAATAGATAAATACTTGAAGAATTCTATCTTCAATATTGGGAATTATTTATAAGATTATTTAAAATTGAGCTAAAATGAACAAAAATTAATCTGTGTTATGGATTATCTTTACAATGAACGGTCTATAAGAATCGTTTTTGATAGAAATCAATAATTTGTCAAAAAATTATCCTCATCAGATAAATTTCTTGTAACCCAAAAAATGTTTCGATAAGATGGTGGTTGATGGTAGTCAACAGGAAATCCCAAAACTAGGTTTCGTGCTACATGGCACTCGTTAGCAAGGTATACCTGTAATCTTAAGAGAAATGATGCTCCCTGACGGATTCGATTTGCACTAAGAAGCACCTGATATATATGACACGGATCATCACCCAGTGATCAAACAATTATAAATACATCTCAATCCTAGAGAAGGTCAGTCGTGGCCCGGATGGTTCAGTGGTAACGTCTCTGACTGTGAAGCTGGGTGACACGGGATCATGGAGCATCCGTTACCTCAAGATTACAGATACACCTCGCTGATGACTGCCAAGTAGCACGAAGCTTAGGTCCAGCGTTTTCTGTTGACTACCTCTAACCACCATCTTATCACAACATAGTGCGCATTCAACGTCCAGTCACCTAGACTGGTGGCCACATTGCAACTTGGTAGAAAGGATTCGTCCTAAACTAAGAAAGACTTGACACATATGACATTGAAAAGTGTAAATTACCAACGAAATTTTACATGTTATTTTCTATAAAGTTAATGAAATTATCGATCAACTAATCAAAACACTCAGTGATAATTTGTGTGACTTAGAAACAAAAAAAGTGTCAAACAGATTAACTGAGATGTTAGAAATAACTTTCATAATCAAAAAAAGGAATTCCATTTGTAAATCTTTAAAAAATGATAATTATGATGACGCTATATTTTGTTTCAGGATTTATTTGTACAAGACCATAATAATACTCACAAGGGCTTTTGTGGAGATTTTTAGAAATTTCACTGATTGAAATCATGAGTCAATTGAAGCTAGGCCACCATGGAAAACCTGGAATCACTGGACGGCCGTTTCGTTCTACTATGGCACTCCTCAGCTGGGTGCATCAACAATCCCGCACCACGCGGGGTTCAAACCCAGGATCTACTGGCTTCGCGCTCGAGCACTTAACCACTAGACACCACTAGAACACCATGGAAAAACTGGAAGCACTGAGTCCCATACTAGGACGAAACGGCCGTCTAGTGCTTCCAGGTTTTCCATAGTGGTCTAGCTTCAACTGACTCATGATTTCAATCAATATATTAATCCTCGACAGGAAACTAACTGAACAGTTAAAGAATTGTTATAACAAAGCACAGAAACTTTGATAGTTGGTTCCAGTTGAAAATGGAAAAAAGAAACACAATGTAATAAGTGTCTGTTAGCCTTGAGTTTGACTTCAGCAATAGGTTGAATATGTTAACCTATTGTAGACATACATCAGATTAGAAAATAAAGCACTAGTGTAAACTTATATTGTACTGAAACATTTCGCTTCGAAATATGGTCGACATATCTAAGGTTGATGTTTTTATGACAGTTTTATGTAAATTAAGATGTTGGAGAAGGAAAATTATGGACAAATATAGGAATAAAAATCAAACCAATGGGAAATACAACTAAAACAAAGAAGTAAACAATGACCTGTTCAAGGTCAACAAGAACCAGTCAACATCAAGGTGTACAGGACAAGCTTCTACCTGAAGTTTTGCTGATGATGTTATTCAGAAGAACAATATATATATATATATATATATATATATATATATATATATATATATATATATATATATATATCCCGACTATTCTCGTATATCTTTATCGACTTAATCCGCGTTGAGTAATTAACGAAATTAAATAAGTCAAATAACGAGAATGGACTTTTGAATACATATATTTTGTAATATGAAGCGAATGGAACAGACCGAAGTGAAACGACGTGCAGTGGAGATGGAGAGTAAGACAACTCCACTTAATCAAGCGTTATTCAATATTTACATTCACACAAAAATACGTTACAGACGTGTGACGAATACGATAAGAAATGTGCACACACATATGCGCTCATGTAAAAACAGTCAAGATTGATCAGCGGACAATTATCATGGTTAAAATGTAACTCAAATAGAATGATTAGATTGACCTGTCCGAAAGCAAGAATAAGGTATGTGGGCTTAACATGTCAACCGGTACTACAAGTGCGAAATCAACAATTAAGGTAGAATAATATGGCGCTTACAACTGTTTTCAGCAAAATTTGGTACGAAGAACAAGTACCAACAGACTGGAAAGAAGAACACCTGAACAAGATATCAGAGAAAGGCGATCTCAGTAAGTGCGACAAATACAGAGGCATCACTCTCTCCTCTCGATACCAGTAAAAGTCTTCAACAGGGTGTTATTAAACAGAATGAAGGACTCAGTAAACGCCAAACTTCGAGATCAACAGAATGAACTCGGAGAGGATCGACCAAATCGCAACACTACGAATCATTGTGGAATAATCAGTTGAATGGAATTCATCACTCTACATTAACTTCATTAACTATGAGAAAGCATTCGATAGCGTGGATAGGACAACACTATGATGGACTAAACTAAAAAAACTGTGCATAAAAATAACTGACAGACTCGTTCAAAGTACAGATCGGTGTCAGGCAAGGTTGCATACTCTCATTCTTTCTCTTTCTCCTTGTGATCGACTGATCATAAAGACGTGAACATCTGGGGGGAACCATAGGATAAGCTGGACAGTTAGGATGACAATTATAATGGGACGAATTACATTAACAACGATTACCACTAATAACGGCCGTCCAGTGCTTCCAAGTTTTCAGTGGTGATCTAACATCAATAGGTTCATGATCTCAAACAAAACCTCAATGATCTCCTCAACTTCATACTGATAATTATCATACGATCACTAGTGACTAGCTTTGTGAGGGAGTTCTCGGAGTTCTAGTAAGAAGCCGTGACCAGTGGAGCTAATCCATGTGAGGTAGAGACAGGTATCTACCTCAGTACAACGGAAGATGGTTATGCAACTTCGTGGATTGTTTGAGGTTAGATATTAACACCGCTGGATGACGACTCGGAGGTCTATAATTTAAGCATGCGCGCATGAGACCGAGGGCCCCGGGTTCCAATCTCGCGAGCGGGATCATGGATGAGCACTGCTGAGGAGTCCCATACTAGGACGGAGCAGCCATCCAGATGTTTCAGGTTTTCAGTGGTAGTCTAACATCAATCGGTTCATGACCTCAAACAATAGTTATTATTTAACTCCAAATCGACTATAGTACATAAAGTGATATACTTATTTTCATCGTAGCTTGTTACAAATTATAACAACTGATACTGAACTCTACACGTATAATAAACAGTAACAAGGTTTGTAATTGGGAATGCTTTAAAAAAGAGTAAAATTTTATTGTGATTTTTTGAATCAGATCATGAACCGATTAATGTTAGACTACCATTGAAAACCTGAAACATCTGGATGGCTGCTCCGTCCTAATATGGGACTCCTCAGCAGTACACATCCACGATCTCGCCACGTAAGATTCGAACCCAGGATCTATCGGTCTCTCGCTCACTCGCTTAACTTCTAATTTCAACTAATCCATGAAATTGTTTGATCATCTACCATTTTACAGAGGTAGTTGCCTGTCTCTACTCGACATGGATTAGCTTCACTGGTTACAGTTTGTTACTAGAACTCCAAGAATTCCCTCACGAATCGAGTAACTAGTGATCACATGATAATTATCAATATGAGATTGTAAAGATCATTAAATTTTAGAGTGAGATTATACACATGATTGATGTCATTGTTAGTTAGATACAAAAATCTAATAAAATTTTTTTTTTCTTTTTTTTTTATTCTCAATAGGCATAATCATTATAAAACAAAAGTATGCGTTTACTTACAGACATATACATGTATATTAACTTATATTACTTAAATAGAAAGCGATTGTATCTGATTGACGTATAATGAATGAATTACCTATATATATATATATAGTAACTGTTTTATTATATTCTATTGTGTAGGCTAAAGATGATCAATTTTTTCTTGGGGGGGGGGTTGGTTGGGTTTTTTTCCTGTTCTTCTTTGTGCTACAACATAATTGTTTCCTTATATTTTTTCTTTAAAAAAAAATAATTAACTTGACAACATATAACCATGACTAGAAAGTAAAATAATAATTCGAATGTGCATAAATTATCTCTAATCCATATGTAATACACACTTGAATGAATTGTATTATATATAAAATGAATCATTATTGGTTATTGGTTCGTTTGTTTGTTTGTTTTTTTGTGTTGACTGTAAAACATAAATTGGTTAGCAACAAGAATTATTTCATTATCAAAAAAACCCCCCAAAAAAATTTTTTTCGTTTTTTTTTTGTTATTAGATAGATAAGGAAGAATAAAACATGGACAAACTATCATTTACACCGGAATTATGGACAAAAATATTCATTGTGATCAATAGTTTATTTGTAGTAAGTAGTTTATTGTTTTTGCTTTTTTTTTGCTTCTCATTTCTTATCATTTTTTAGGTATTTAGTTTTATTATGTTTGCCTTAGGTATTAGTGCCTTAGGTGCATTACTTAAATTTGGTACAATATTACAATTAGCACCACCAGCAATATATGGAACGGTTATATTTACTGGGTTACTTGGTATGATAGCTGCAGCTGTTGGATTTTTTGGTTTATGGAAAAAAATGAAAATTATCGCCTTTGTGGTAAGTATATATATATATATATATATGTTATGTAATCATTTTCCTCTTTGATATTTAGCATATGATTAGTTTAGGTATAGCAACATTGATGAATATATGTATCGGTATTGCAGCAGCAGCAACTCAAGATAAAGTTAGTTGATGAATACAATTATACTCTAATAGATCATTTTATAGTATAAAACAGATGCTCAACAATCATTACTCAGTTCTATTTCAAGTTATAATCAAAGTCAATATTCATCGGAATTCGATAAGTTACATACTACTGTAGGTTATAGTTGAATGAAAAAAAAAATTGATTATTTTATCATTATAGTTCTATTGTTGTGGAGCTAATTCATACAAAGATTTTAAAACGTATAACATGAAGATACCACCGTCTTGTAGAGTTGGTGAATTGACCTATGCAACAGTAAGTAAATAAATATTTATCAGTTATGTTCCATACCTTTTTTTATGTTCCATGACATATATATGCTATGATGGTTCCATAGATTTATCGACCTTTTATCATTATCTGTTTACAATTCCTTTGGTTGTGATTAGAAGTAGATAACTTGAGTTATTGTTAACTTTTGACCTGATTTACAAAGATCTGTATCAGCATCGACAATCAATAAACTAAAGGATGAATCGGATCATGTAAAGTATTCATCAGTCATATGTTGAATAACAGATAGAATACTGAGATAAGTTTGATTTCGTATTTCGTTTAGATAATATAATTAATTTTGTTGTAGTCATTCCCATTAACGTCAATTTGACCTAGTTTTTACTTCATTTGAATCATGCAATTCTCTACCAAATGGATTAGTATTTCAAGACAGTTATCTTAATTTTCTTATATTATCTCTTTCTAAACAATTGATATCTACTTTATGATTTTTCAAAATACTTAATATCCGAAAAGGTTCTGTGGAGATCTTAGTAATTTTAATAGTCAAGATGATGAATCAATTGATGCTAGAGGACCATGGAAAACCTGGAAGCACTGGACAGCCGTTTCGTCCTAGTATGGAACTCTTCAATAGTGCATATCCACGATCCAACTTCTCGAGATTAGAAACCAGGTCCTATCGGTCTCACATGAGAACGCTTAGCCTCTAGACTACTGAGCCGGTATCTAACGGTGTTAATGTCTAACTTCAATTAATCCATGAAATTCAGCGACACATCCGCCTTTGTCTTTAGTTAATTACTATCTCACAATTGACCGGGTTGAACTTTACTGGTTACTGTTTTTTAGTAGAACTCGATGAAATACCTGTTGAATCCATTCATTAGTGAGTATTTGTTGATTAGTATTAGAAAGAGTTTTGTGAATATCATAATAAATCAATTGAAGCTAGAACACAACTCTACCCTCTATTTTCTACCGATTGTACAAATGTTCAAGACACTGTTCTGTATTTTGACTTCTGCTTACTTCGATGATTAGCAGTAGAAAATGAAATAATTAAATGATCTGTATGAATATTTTTAGTAGACATTCTATCATGACAATTATATTAATGGTATTAAGATCTAACTAACTGAATTTTTATGATCCTGTATTGATTTATTTAGTTATTTTAACATAAAGATATTGGTACAAGGAGGCACCAAATATATATATATATGTGCCACACAAATCTCATCCGATATGTGTGAGGGCTGTGATACTGCCCGGGTACCCAAACCAAAGCAGGTGGTTTCCTTAGAGGGCCACTCCCCGAGCCTTCGACCTGAAGGTCTGATCCACAAGGCAGTGGAACAACGTAAGGAGATGCAGTTCCATCGTAGCCGGTGACCAACGATTGGTTCCTACCCCATTTTCCCCTCAGGATGCTGGATCCCATGTGCACCATTGGTTTGGAATCAGGGTTTTCCAACTCCCCTAGGTAGACTCTCCATGTCCAACAACCCGGTTAAAGCGCCGGACATTCGCTCTTCGTCCTCTCAATTTCGTAAACAACAGTAGTGCCACGAGAAGGCAGTGAGTAGGACTTCCCTGGCAGAGGCTATATACACGTGGCCATGTGAGAGCATTTCGAGAGGGAGAGCGGACTCTCCCCACTCTCGAGCGTACCAGGGCATTTGGGTGCGATCCCGTATTAGTTAGTCATTGATTATAAATCAATTAATTGGTAGGTAATAATTAACTGGACAAACTATCACTTGTTTAAACCGAATTCCTAAAACGACCTGTTGAAATAGAGTTGAATATTCATGTTTACAAAACCAGTAACTTAAATATAGTTTCTCAAAATATTGAAAATTCTCAAACTCTATTTTCACTATACCATGAGTTCTCTTCACTTCTAATGTATTAATGAGTGATCAATGAGTGATTTTGTGAATGCTTATATGTTGATATAACGGAGAAGAGTTGTACTTCAGATGGATTAATTTAGTGAAATTTATGCTGATGACGTTAAAAGGTTCAGTAAAGGCTCCACAACTAAACTATCCAGCTCAGAGAATGAAACATGATTTTTAAAAAAGATATTTGCATACTGACTGAATTCAACTAATACAAGTATCCAATGTGAATATAATTGTTAACCGAATTAAACGTTTATAGCTAGTTGTTTAAATTAGATTAAAATATACTTTTTAGTTTACTGTCTATTTTATGTATGTATGGATGTATTATTAGTGGCTTTATTCGATATTATAATTTTGTTACAATATATAATTCTCAACAAAAAGTATTTCAGATGGGTTTTGTGGATATTATAGTAATTTCAATGGTTAAGATCATGAGTCAGTTGAAGCTAGACCAACATGGAAAACCTGGAAGCACTGGGTTCGAACCTCTCAGGGGGCGAGGTTGTAGATGCGCACTGCTGTGGAGTCCCACAATAGGAAAAAAATATTTCAGCAAGTTTCCATTTCTTAATTCTTGATCGATCCATCCAATAAATATTAAGTGGTCTCCAGTTACATGTTAGCAGTCCAATTATTCGACATCTGAATAATGTATGTTCTTTTCGATGTAGATTGCCAACAACCACGATGTCTTTGATTTGGCTCTTTTGTAAGTTGTAGAGTGAAATGTCGTAAATGTTTCACAAACACAGCTGAATAGACTATAAGACTAATAGGCATAATGATGTATTAAAACAAACAAGCAAAAAGAGATCTTGTTGAAATATCCAAGTGGTTGGAACAGTTAGGCTCAGATATTGAAGCAAGTGAAATTTAGTGTTTAGTTCTAGTTATGTTTCATATCAAATCCTTATTACATCTCATATGAATTGAAACCAGCCTTCATATGATTGTGATCTATTCTTGTTAAAGTAAATTCATATCAAACAGACTAAATTCAGCATTAAATTTTCTTTCTCATATTTATCTAACACAATTATCATTCAACTTTACAGATATAAGTAAATCTGAAAGTTGACGAATTATTAAGGTGTCCTTGTTTAAACATATGGTAATTTTACTGTACTGTAACATCTTTTAAGTTTGTTTTTTGTAAAACTTTTTTTGATTGAGACCACCATTGAAAACCTGGAAGCATTCTATGGCTGTTTCGTCCCATCGTGGGACTCCTCAGTGGTGAGTACTCACGATCCCGCTCACGGGACTTGAACCCAGGACCTTCGGACTGGGGTACGAACTCATTACCATTGAACATGTCGCAATCAACTATTTTTAACGACACTTCAATAGGTCTCATCGATACGTAATGTATTCAGTCATCTTTTATATGTCTTTATAATCTATTTTTATACGAAATTCAGTTTTAGGAATCACATCAAATGATTTCAACTTACCTATGGTTAGATGTTCTTTGTTAGTGTTTTTGATTTTCATTTTTATTGAAGAAGAGAGAAGGTAATTCAGTGAAGAAAATTTTCTTTTTGGCGACTTTATTCATTCAAACTGTACAATTGTATTGATAACCAATTTTATTCGCTCCATAGTAGATAGAAAAGTGTTAATTAATCCAACTTTTCTGACAATGTACAATACTAAAAGGGGCTTCTGGTGACTCGGAGTGACAGGAATTGATTAGATGCTCCATGATTGAGCTTTTGACTAACATATAAAAGTAGTATGTATCATCAATCGAGATTGATATACCTGGAGGTAGAAAGTTAAGAAAATCAAACAAAAGAGAATGAGAATCATTGGTATGGAAACGAAAGAACAATAAAGTCTGAGATGATTGTCTGATATTTCACAAATGAAGTATTTACTGTATGGTTCTTAGATTTTACTAAGACATTATATAATTTTGCATTCGAATACATTTGATTGTCCCCACTTGTTTTCTCCTTCACTACAGTAGTATGGTAAAATAAATGTCTTTCTTAGTGAAACGATATAATACCATGGAGCTAAAATACAGTTTCTATGGGACAACATTTTATCAAAGTGTTCATCATTTGATTCATTATTCAATAGCTGTTCGCTTTGACTACGTTATGGCATACCATATTCAACTCAGTCGTATTTCCTTCTTAGTGATCAGTTTACTGAGTTAGATTGAAATAGATCAGACTCTAATATTGAAGTCAGATAGTTATTTCTTATTCAGAAGATCATAACATCTAACACTTTGAGTTTTCTTCAACCTTTCATGAAGAACAATTGTAGTGAAGGAGAACACTGGTGAGGATGACACCGTAGAGTTACTTGGTAAAATAGAAAAATCATACTCTAATACTTAATTTGCAAAATGTTCAATAATTGTCTCGGACTTCACTGTTCTTGCATTTCTATACTAATTGCTTTCTATTCTCGTTCCTCCTTTTTTGAACTTACCTCATCTTCTGCCGCCAGACATTACATTCCTGACTCAAGTTATATACTATTTATATACATATAATTTATCAAATTTCCCTTTAAGCTTTTTTCCTATATTTACAGGGTTGTATTGAAGAAGTAACTGGCTTTGCACAAAGTTATTCAACTATATTAATAGCGTTATGTTTTATCACAGCTATTCTTCAAGGTGCCTATTTGGGTATTTCAATTTGGATGATTCGTAAATCGGATGATGGAGTAGCTTTCGCTGCATAAACATTGTATTGAAGAGAAAAAAAAAGTTTCATTTCGTTTTGGTTTAAACAATTCAAAAACAGACTTCATTTCTAATAAGATACCATTTACTACTTAATGAATTCACTGAAGATAATAAAGAAAAACTCACAAAAATATCACTTTTTTTAAAAATTCTCATTCGACATTGATTCTGACACCTTTTCTAGGCTGAACACATTCATAGCGGGTTGATTGTTTCTTAGTAAAAACAAAAAAAAAACACACAACAACAACTTATCTTATCAACAATAAATATGAAATGGATGGTATTTATTATTCTATCTATCAATCTACTGATGATTGAATACTATTAGCATCGACTATATCATTACTACATATTCAGTGAGTCTTGGTAAATACTGTGTCATTAGTATTTCTAAGTTGTCATAGTAACCATATGTAACCATTTGATTGAAAATACCTTTTAATATATATGAATCTAAGAGAATTACCGAACATATCGATCAGGGTTTTTTTTTTCAAATGTTTTCTGTGACATATTTATCATTTCTATTTACTTTTATTTTCTCTGGTTAACGTTTTATTTTCTAACGAGTTAGTTTTTCTACTAGGATGGGGTCGCTAACTCCATACCCAATCCTTCTCGTTTATCTAAGCTTAGGATTGGCAGTAATCTTGGAGAGACTCCAAGCAGAGTTATTTCTACTTACTTACAGTATAATAAGTCTAGCATATATTGTCTTATAACTCCGTCTGGAGCCCCTCTGGCCTTATTGCCGTTCCCAAGACCTGATAAAGGAGGAGGGTTGAGCATAGGGTTAACGACTCTATCCTAGTAAAAAAAAACTAACTTGCTAAAAATAAAACGCTAACCAGAAAAATGTATTGTCTTATATTTGATGAAAGTCGAAAAATGAACATTAAAGTAAATTATGATAACGTAAGTGTTTACGTTGTTACTGATTGATTTTTATGTAAACGTGTTATGAAGAATTTTTCAATATTATCACATGGTTAATTAAAGTGTTACGCTTTCTAAATAAACAAAAAAAAAACAAATTCTTCGTCATACAGAAGTGTATTTCATTGAGATGTAACATGTTTAATTGATCTCATTGAGAATATGTTATGATTTGATGAAGTTTTATAAATTTAGATGAAACTTCTTGATGATTAAGATAGAATTATATGTGAATAATTGATTTTTGATTCATTCAATGATTCTTAGAAGTATTGAGTAATTGTTAGATTTGAAGCTATCACGAGTTCACTTAATCTGCGAACGAGAACAAAGACCAGTAAGCTAGCTATTGATGCGTCCCAGCCCCGCTAACTAGAGGGAGAAGTCCAAGCTTAGAATGGGAAAGTATATTCTGCAAACAGCCAGAAACGAGTTATAACAAAAAACACAATTCAAAACGTATATATATACAGTGTAAAACCGTTCTTGGGGAGAGTTACCAAATAGGATACTAAAAAACACAACGAACCAATAGCACTTAAGATAGTTCCCAGTAGGAAATACGACATGAAGGTGACAAGGGCAGTTCTGGCGCGAAAACAAAGAAATTCAAATTTTCTAAATAAATTACAAAATTAGGTCCTTTTCCAAGTGAGTTCTGGGGATCTAACGTCCCCAACAGATATCCAACACATGGTATTAACACCCTTTCATATCGTATTAGTTAAGGTGAATTTTCATGATTTGTTAATTATATAAGAGTAGCATAGGTATTCAAAATTGTTATCTGTGAAATTCTTAATAAGTACTTTGTAGGAAAGGTAAAGTGAAAACAAGATAATAAGACTATTAAACGGCTTACGTAAGATTAAGATAAGAAATTAAAATGGTTTTGATGTCTATTCTTATAGCTTCTAATATATGTAAGAGTCGGATTCTGAAACGATCGGGTAAATTCGTTTGGATTTTATAACTTTAAATGCTGAACTTTAATCTACGTGATAATCAGTATCAACCAGATGCACCAAGATAGAGTTTGTTATTACTCCTTTTTTTGTCTTTTGGTCAACCATATAGGGTAATGTTCAGAAATATGATGATGCATTTGTTTACTTGTGAGCCTAGTATAACTAGCTATGTAGGAGCAGTTTAAATTGTAAATACACGTAGAGGCAGAGGAACTAGGCAACTCATCTTTATTTTGTGAAATCATTATTGACCAATTGAAGAAAGTAGGATATTTGCTTGCCGTATTGAATGTACGTTACTATTTCACTGACCATATCATCTTTGAAATGTGATTAATTATTATTATTATTGGCTTTATTCAATGTTATATTTCTGGTACAACATAGAGTTCTCAACACAAAGTATTTTAACAAGTTTCCATTTCTTAATTCTTGATCGATCCATCCAATAAATATTAAGTGGTCTCCAGTTACATGTTAGCAGTCCAATTATTCGACATCTGAATAATGTATGTTCTTTTCGATGTAGATTGCCAACAACCACGATGTCTTTGATTTGGCTCTTTTGTAAGTTGTAGAGTGAAATGTCGTAAATGTTTCACAAACACAGCTGAATAGACTATAAGACTAATAGGCATAATGATGTATTAAAACAAACAAGCAAAAAGAGATCTTGTTGAAATATCCAGATGACTGAAACAGTTACGCCCAGATATTCAAGCAGCTGCCGTCGGATATAGTTAAATAGATAATCGTTCATATCTCGTAACTGTGTCTTATTTCATTCTCGTTACGTTTCGACCAAATGGGTTTTACGTGTGTTACACCAATTTTGAATCTATCATTAAGAAGAAAACAGGCTTAAATACTGTCAATCTAAAACTGTCAATTTCAACAACAATTTAACAGTAACAAATGGATAAAGTAAAATAAATGAAAAGGTAACTAACTTGTGATGTGTGCAAATTTAAAATGAGTCATTACATATGCCAGACAATAAAAATCAGATTTTTTGAGCAAATTAGAAAAAAGGAATTCTTTATTTATCAATGTATTCTGATCAGTAGTAGTCGTAATAGTGGTGGTTGCAGTATTAGTATTAGTAGTAGTAGTAGTAGTAGTAGTAGTAGTAGTAGTAGTAGTAGTAGTAGTAGTAGTAGTAGTAGTAGTAGTAGTATGGTGCGCATTAGTGATATCGACATATATAAGTAGTTTGTATCACCAATCAAAATTTAAATGCCTGGCGGCAGAAGGTTAGGAAGATTGAAGAGAAAAGAATGAGAACAGAGTGTGATTGGTATGGAAACGAAGATAAAATAAAGTTTAAGACAATTGGTTGACATTTTTCAGATGAAGTATATACTGTATTGTTGTCAAATTTTACTAAAAGATTTTGTAAAGTTGTGGTCTTCTCGTTCACTTCAGTAGTAGTAGTAGTACACAATCGAATATATGAGCACTGAAAGCCCTGGGTTCGAATCCCGCGTGTGGGATCGTGGATGGGCACTGCTGAGGAGTCTCACAATAGGTCGAAACGGCTGTCCATTGATTCCAGGCTTTCCATAGTGGTCTAACATCAATCGGTTCATGATCTCAATCAAAAACTTATTTAAGTTTGACCTTTCATAGTTCAACTGAACAAACATGACAAAGTCAAACCTACGTCAACTTAGTGATCAAACAATAGTTTCTGAACGATTGTCACTTAATTTAAGACATGAAAATTTGAGTTAGTGCAGTGTTGTCTTTCTGTGAAAATTTATTTAAATCTTAGGCATCCAAAGAATATATAGCAAAGAAGCATTTTAACGATACATGTATCAATACCAATGTTGGTCTTGATAGTTTCAAATAAATTAGGCATTGGGTATATCTCAATGAGTAGAAACATTGTATTTCTGAAGGCGTTTCGTAACTTAATGTAAGCTACCTCTTCAGGGTGACTACATAACTAAGCTATATTAATACAAGTTTGAATAGTACCAAGGAAAGAACGAGGAATAATTTTAGTACAATCAAAAGCATAATAGGTTCGAACATGTCAATGTCAAGTTATTCTTGGTCAAAGTGACTTTGTGTGACCTGTCATTGTATTAATTTGTGTGTCAGAGTGTGTATATGAGAAATGTATGCATTCGTAAAATCACGTTAGTGGGGTTAAAATTAGGTGTGAAAATGAATAAGGTCAGATGCTTTTATTGGAATATATAGTTCAGGTTGGATGAATATTCAGGCCAACCACCAGCATTCTCTATCCAACTTTCCAGTTCTTTCCAGTAGCTATTCATCATTTTCATGTCTGCTCCCGATTTCCGACGCAGTGTGTTCGTCGGCCTTTCTCTTTTTTTGTTTCCCTTCAAAATTTTAAGATAGCGCCTACCTCGTGATGCAGTTTGATGATTTCTTCAGTTTTTGTCCTATTCTCTTCGAACGTCTTTCCCTAATTTCTATTTTAGTTGGAAGTTGGTTTAAGCTAACCCACAGTAGTCTGTTGCTGATGTTAACCTGCCATGTAAATAATTGCCACACAGGAAATATTTCGTTAGTATTAATCAGTAATTTAAAACGTTTGGAAATAATTCAAATATATTCTGCGTCACCTTTTATCAAAGCTTTCTTTAGCTAAGTCAACTTCTAAATAACTCTTAGTTAACAACAATTCATAAGTTTTAATACTTCAATATTCGATAATCTATCATTTTGAATGTATAAAAGCAACATGATAGAACACATACGTTTTTATTGGGTTATTTAGTTCAGTTTCCACCGGGAATTTCGCTGATCACAATTTGTCGTCACATGTAAATATGATATTTTAGTGGCCCGACATTTTGAAGTCAATTAGAGTGCACTATGTTGTCGACGGGCTCACCATTTTAGTGGTTAGTTATTTATATGTCAATTAGATTGGACAATGTTGTTGACGGGCTCACCACTTTAGTGGCCCGGGATCTGACTCCATTTTGATTGCTTTTGATTGCTATTAAGATACATATATTTTCAATCCTCGTAAATAATTATCGAATTAAATAAGCCAAATACGCGAATGAATTTCCCAATACAATATATTCTAAATATTCATACTGAATAACTTTTAATAATGAAAGCTTAAAAAACTCAGTTACAACAACGTGTACCATTTGACTTATAATTATGAGTTTATATCACGAACTGACTACGGTCATATAATTGCTGAAATCCAGAAATCTCTGAACACTTGCTTCGTTGTTGTACAATACATCTTTTCAGTGTGGCTTCTTCATGTCACCAACTATACGATCCAGAAGCTTTGATTTCATCATCGAATTTATTGCTCCTAGTTTAACCATATATTACCTAGATAGAATGGCTGTGCTCGAATCGTATTGCACATTACAATGGCAATTGAATGTTTATGTCTTGTGGATCTTCTTGGTTACTTTACTTAAACAGCAATGAAGAACTGAAGCACATGAGCCTTTTGACTCTACGAAAAAAAACACATTGAAGGTCCGACATATTTACAGGAACATCAGAATGATAATTGGTTCGAATGACAATAAATATCTCCTACTTTGGAATTTAATTACGCAATTTGTCTTCAAGAATTACATTGCATCAGACTGGACTTAATATAGTTTTGGTTGCTAAGTCAAATTTAACTTCGGGTTAGTTACGATAATTCAGTAATTTAATTAGCAATATGCATTTACCAAGTTTCTCATCACCTCCCTTTTTATTTCATTTCAGTCATTCATTGGCTCCAACCAACTAAGTTTTGATAATAGTCCACAAAGTATTCAGCAACTGGTTACAAAGACACAGACATTTGATCATATGATCTATGAATAGTTGAGTATATATGAGAATCCTATCATTATAAAGAGTTGGAGTTCAGCCAGGTCTGTTGTGAAATATCAGCTCACTGAAGACCATGGTAGACGGTGGCGCGATTTCGTGGATTGGTTGAAGTTAGACATTAACACCGTAAGATACCAGCTCAGTGTTCTAACGGTCAAACCCTCGCTCGCGAGATTGATAGATCCTGGGTTCAAATCCCGCGAGCGGGATCGTGGATGTGCGCAACTGAGGAGTCCCATATTAGGACGAAACGGCCGTCCAGTGCTTCCGGGTTTTCCATGGTGATCTAGCTTCAATTGACTCATGATTTCAATTATTGAAATTATTAATATTACTTAAATGATTTGTGACAATAAATATAATTTGAATTATATCATACAGAAATATCAACAATATTTATGCTTGAAGTGAAAAACAAGCTGGACATCCTCTTTCTTATTGTTGAAATGCTCAGAAAACATGATGGAATTCTGGAAAGATTGATTTATAAAAACCCTTCCATGAATGACTGGATACCAGGTATCTATAGACGGGTCCTTAATGGTATGGTGAAAAAGTTAATGACATCTCTTTTCATAAGAATCTTATAACTTTGTAGTTCCGAACCATTTAAGAATAATATCCATTGAAAATTGATATCTATCGATCCATAGTTTATTTAGCAAGCATTGAGTTTGTTAAACATTGTTTCCATATGCATAATGTAATCTGGCTATCCATCTATTATAGATACTATTCATATCCCCTAAGGAAAAGTAAGACAAAGGTATTGAAACGGTGAGTGATTAGATTCAGTTTTCCAAGAAACAAGCACCCAGGCTTCGTGCTAGTCATCACTTTTCAGAAAGTCGTGTCAACTATCGGTATAATTTGATCGGTAGTGCTAAAGGACTTGACAAATATACAGTTGGTTTATAATCAGTGATCAATCGATTGTGCATCTAAACTATCGGAATTTATTTATTATCATTAATTGGGTATAAAAATACCAGTAAACAAAAGACTTACAAAAACCTTGCCATAATTCTTCTATTTAAATTTATTAAGGTATACAATTGTCGGTTCAGATCCCGTAGTGGTAGAAGTGGTAAGAGTATAAGCAGTAATCAGAAAGATTAGGGTTTGAAGATGTTATTCAAGCAGTATAATTCAGTGAAATAAAAGTGGAAAGAGAAAAAGAAAAGGGATATAAAGCATACAGAAGATTAGAATTTGGAAGATCACAAAGAGTGGATGCATCTGCGCCATTGCAAATGATTTCGAGCCATGTCATTCAGGGCCTCTAACCATCGGTTACTATTGTCTCACGGATCCCAACCAGGTAGTCTACACCTACCAACATAGCTCACCCAGTCCACTTGTCAATGACTTCATGGACTTGTGCCATGTTTTGGTCTGGCCTCCCCTAGCTTTCTTCCAACCTACTCCTACATCATAAAACATCGCACGTCGAGGCAGTCGGTCGTTGAGCATACGTAACACGTGTCCCAGCCATCTTAACTGATGTAGTAAATCTAAATTGTCTAATTCTTATTGTTACTGTTGTTGTCAGTTATATACCCTTGTGTTTCAGTTATGATCTATACTCTTGTGAATATTTCTTATTAATGTCTTATCATTCTATGAAATGCATAACCTGTGATCAGACATTTGATCTGATTTGTTATTACATTACTTAATCAATAACTTCCCATTAAATTCTTCAAATTTAGATCTAAATCAATGTTCCAAATGAATAACCAACTTTATAGTAAATACTTCTGAAATTGCTGTATGTGAACATGGAATGATTTGTAAAATGAAAGTGTTAGTGCTGAAATGATTAGTATGTAATGTTAACTGAAAATCATATCACTTTCCTTAATAAATAATCTTCAACTAAGTACTTTATATACTGTGTAGCCACATTACTTGCACTTCTTGAACCATAAAATATCCTTTTACATTCTGAATGTAATCTCACAATTTCATTTAAACGTATGAAGATCAAATTCCAGTGTCTTCGAAGGATATGTTGTTGAAACAAACCAAAAACGGTTGAATTCTAAGAGTCAGGGATTTTCATAAGAACTCTGGAAATTTCCTCTCGAATCCAGTCAGTAGTGAACAATTCATGATTTCGTTGACTTTCCCTAATATTCTATTATTGAGTTAAAATAGCAAATGCAGTACCGATGTTGTGATCATAAACATCAAACTCTCATTGATGATTATTCATCTATCATTGATGTAAACTGAAAATATTTTACTAAGAATATGATTTCAGTCGATAAATGAAATATGATTAACATATCAGTAATGAACACGTTTTGTGAAGATGAGATCATTGCCTTCAACTCATTCATGCCTAGTCCTATGTTGTGGAATATGACTGCTGTTACTCACTGACATCCAGCACATATATTGCGGCTCAATCTTAACAATGAGAAAAGTTACCTGTCTGAATAAAACAACACACAAAATGTAATAACATTAGCTTCATTCATTAATCTGTGGCGAATACAACGTGTAGATCAATCTAATCTCCACTAAACTTCAACTCAATGAAAAACGATGCATCGTTCGTATCCCATCAGTTTTGAGGTCAGATCATTGTGATATGAAGTTGAAAATGCTACTTAATTTTAATAAGTATCTAATTTCAATTGTAACAATTTAGTAATAAATAAGTGGCTTTGTTTTATATTCAACAGTCGGACACTGTAAAATGAAGAATTATCTATTGAACAGTTGGTTTACTTACTTACATTACGCTTGTTACTCCCAATGGAGAAGAGGCCACCGACCAGCATTCTTCAACCCAATCTCTCCTGGAACTTCCTTTCCAGTACTATTCAATTGTTGTTCATTCTTCTCATGTCTGTCTACATTTCTTCGCGTAATATGTTCTTTGGTCTTCCTCTTCTCCTTGAGGATTCCAGATATGGGTATTATCTATTGAAAAGATTGATCTACCTAGAATTAAATGAATACAAAACAGAATAATCAACAGCTCACTAATCAATTTTCATTGACCTGTGCAACATGTTTCTATTTCATCTATTTCATCGCTAATTAAGTAGTATCGATGTGATGATTATTGTTATCATTCAAAATTACAATACATTACCATAGGATTAGATTCCACAGGTTGAAATCATGAGTCGATTGAAGCTAGACCACCATGTAAAACCTAGAAGCACTGGACGGCCGTCTCGTCCTAGCACGGGACTTCTCGGCAGCGCGCATCCACGACCCAGAACCACGCGGGGCTCGAACCCAGGACCTGCTAGCTTCAACCAATCCACGAAGTTGCCCCACCGTACACCATTGTCTTCAGAGGGTTGTTATCTCACAACAGACCTGGTTGAACTACAATGGTAACGGCTTCTCTCCATGGTGGTCTAGCTTCAATTGACTCATGATTTCAACCTGTGAAATTTCTGAAACTCTCCACAAAACCGATTCTGAGAATTAGATTCCTTTAACTAGTCACATGTATTGCACCATATAGAATTAGTGAAAAATAAACATATAATAATGTTTTACATAGTGAATTACATCAATGATTATCTACATAATACATAACAGTATACATATCAATCTATCAAAAGCTTATTGACATTTGTTATGCACAGGCAAAACTAATTCATTCATTTCATCTTCTTTCACTCAAATACAGGCTCATTGGCAAATCATCAACAAAATTGACACAGTCAGTAGGTATGAAATTTAATTAAAAGTCAATTTCGAATGGATTAATCAAAATAGAAAGGGGATTCAGTGTGAAATTCATCAACAAGAATAGAGATTTCGTGAACACAACAAAACTCTCGTGGCAATTCCCCTACAAGATCATCATCCAGTTCAAAATCATGTATTTGTCAATAGTTGGACGATATTCAACAAAATTGTTCGTTTTCTTGAATTGTCTTTTTATTGTAAGCGATAATTTCTATTGATTTGTTTCTCTGTTGTTCTATTCATTTCATTCTTTATGATGCAATATAGACAATTGGCAGTATTGCGGTTGTATACGGCATGAAACTACCTACCAATCTATCTGGATATAAGAGGATTTTGCAAGCAACTATACCACCCATCTTCCTAACTGCTACTTTCTCAGGAACTCTTGGTATATTAGCTGCATGCATCGGAATATTAGCAATATTGAGTGAAAGAAACATGATCATGTATCTGGTAACCATTGAAATATTAATGTATATGCATATGCATTTCTATCCAACTTTTACGTTTAGCATCTATGTGCTTTGACCATTGTAATATTTATGGAAATAGGCATAGCATCGACATCCTGTTTAATGAACGACCAAGTTAGTTCATGTCTGACTTCCGATTACTTTCACGTATACAGTTCTTCACTGAAGCTCATCGTTCGTTAAATACGAATGTTAAACAATATTGGACAAATCTTCGTTATCAAATAGAATTTGATGATTTACAAACAACAGTAAGTAAATAAAACATCGGTAAATGTGTTAACTCTCTACATACAGTTCCGTTGTTGTGGGGCTGATTCATCCAACGATTATCCACATGTTAAACAACTTCTACCGATTTCATGTTTGTCTGGAATAAAACCATATTCACTGGTAAGTAAATGTTTGATTGTTGTAAAACACTCTAATTGCATATGAACCAATCGAAAGCTTCCAATTTTGAAGGGAATTTCAACATTGAATAGGTAAATGTCTGAGGAAACGTTTGACGTAACATCTCTGCACGTTACTGTTAACAAATACAAAGCGATGTCCGTGCTACAATAACCAAGATTTGTCCACTACTCAAACTATACAGTTCATTTATTCAAAAGTATACATTTTACACTATGGTTTAACATGCTTCCTACATATTCTTAACACATTCTATTCACAACAAATCGATTGGTCATATCTACGTAGTAAATCACTACTCTTCTCACAATTCACCTGGGACACATGACCAATGCATATTTGTAACGTTCAGTCGCAAATTCGCAGATGCTGAAAATTTACATCGTGCGATCCTCAATTCCTTGTTACATATACTTGTCATGTTGATGTTGTTCTATTCACCTTAACTTCATTTTGTGTATATTCAAATAAATATATTAGGATGGAAAGGCCTTCCGGTGCTTTCAGCTTTCTAATGGTGATCTAACATTGGTCGATTCATGATCTCAATCACAACTCAACCATCCTCACAGCTGTTTACTGAAAATAAATACACATGAATTTATGAAGTAAGATACAGACTGAAGACTGAAGAACAAGACACCTTGATTGCATGGAAGTTAGTGTAAAAACACGTCTAAGCAGATAAATGATGGTTGTCTTATTTTCGTCTCAATACTTTCCGTAGATTTCCTTCAACAATACTAGATTTTGTGGCATACTTATCAGTTTACTGTTGGTTTAGTGTTGTAGAAGTAGCTATTGTCCTAAGTTGGAAGTTGCATACATCCAAAGCGATTCCATTTGCTGATCTCTTTAAGGCTTATGTCATTTATATCGTAATGTCGGCGAAACGGCTGTCCAGTGCTCTCACGTTTTCGATAGTGATCTAACGTTGATCCATTCATGATTTTAATGAAATTCAACAATCTCGACAACCCTTTATTAATAACTAATTATAATTATTATTCAGTTACTCATTTCATTCTGAGCATATTGAGTAGTTATTATCCGTTGATGTGTTGTATTTCCAAATACTTATATGTACCTGTCACATTCAACTGATTTATCATCCTGATTTTATCCGTTTGACGCTTTGAAGAGTTAACTTTGATTCTTTCGCAGTTATTGGCGATATATGTAGTTTTGAATCCGGTTAAACTGAGATCTGTATTCTGGGTTATCGTTATATTCCTTTAAGGTACGATTTAATAAATTATGAACATTCAGAAAGAAAGACAACAAACAACAAAGATCAACTTGTTAGAATCTATCCAGTTCAGTCATCATCGAACCCACTTGATTCCCTGAAACACAAGATTTTCATCATATACCTAAATCGGTAAGAATTACAATTGTCAAAACAACCAAGTACCACACACAAACATCAATAACAATAAATTATATTGGTGAGATTATAATTTATGGTCGACCCTTGAGCGACGCTAAATTGGTCTTGAGTGTGTCCACTTAATAACTAAAACCAATGTGTGTGGGGATTAGAATTATGATTTAAAGTTGATGGTTAGTGTTAGGAATTAGATTTCGGGTTTTCATCACGAACTGACATCAGCTTCGATGCCAAAACTCTATTTAGTCAAATGGATGGTTGAATTTCATTCAAAATTCGTTCATTCGTTACCAGATATGCAATCATTTTTCAGATGATTCCATAGACCAACTATTGCAATCAATGACGCGAAGATGGAAATACCTCCTGATATGCAAACCATGAGAGAGAACAGTGGTACTGCTCCGTGTACAATTTCACCGTATTCTTTCAATGCTTTCTCTGATTTAATTCCATTTTATTTCATAGACAAGCCGAACTCCATCAAATATCTTGATAACATAGATGAGAATGAAGTGGGCAAATCAAGAGGAATACAGAAGCGTCACTTACTACAAGCAAACAGTTGTATAGCATGAAAAGCGCTTCCAATTGTTTTGTGGGAATGTTTAGTTCGTATTTGTCAGTTTGATGATAATGGATCGACTATAAGAGAATGTTGACAGATATTCGATTTTAGTACTGAAATGTTATGATAGATGATGTGTGATTTGTCACAAAATATGCGACTAATTATCTTCATTCTAACTGAGATGCGTCAATGTAGTAAATAGTTGTGGTTGTCAATTCAAATGATGGTGGAACATTTACTGTTGTTGTGTGATGAATGTATTTGCGTTTACTTCTATGTGTGCATATACTACTAAGTAGAGAAGTAGTTTCTATTTTTATATTTCACATGAGTATTCTCATGTATACGAGTGTTCAAATGAAACGAATCAGTTGATTTAATTTGTTATAACAATAGTATAGAATATTGTAATCTCAATGGTGAAGCAAAAGTAACCGTTGACAATGATCAAGTGTATTTTATTGGCGAGAGTAATCAGAAAATAAGTGAATTGTTCCACACTATGTGATATACTCATGAATAAAAAGTTGTATTCACGAGGCTTTATCTCATTACAGGCTCCTTGTTCAAATCATTCATGAAATTCTGATTTTATTGGAATATCATTTCGTTATTTTGGATTGGTTTCAACAATGTAACAGAAGCTTTTGTGAAAGATCCTCAGAAAAGGTGATCCATAGTAATACAAGCTGCACTCGAGAACACCATATTTTTGGGGATATTTATTTCTGTCTACTATTTACAGAAGAAATAGGTAGACGCTTTGATTTTCATGTACATAACATACTATACAACGCGAAGATAAAAAGAAACTTTCATGAGAACGAACGGTGTATAATATGGTTAAACAGTACGGCCTTCTACTGTTTAAGACATATCCTTATCTGAGCTATCAAATGGGAATCTAGCAAAATCATCTGAATTCTTTGAGAATGCAATCAGCTCATCCTGTTCAGTCACAGTTAATTGCCATATAAACAGATATCCCAAATTATTGTGATGTACATTCACAGCTCGTGTTCTTCAACGTTAAAAACGGCAATCATCTGAATGTATTTTGAACTATGTCCCCATGATATTGACTGAAGAGTTACCTGTCATAATTGAGGAAATACTGTTGAACTTACTGAATATCCAACCACTCACAATGTCGATGTAAACACTGTATAATGCATATGAATAGGAAGGTTAATGAGTGGAATGTTGGAAATAAACAAATTTCAGTCTATGTCATTCCGACAAATTTATGTCTAATTCATTTTCACATGATTTTAATAGACAGCTAAATTACTTTTAATTACCGTGACTTGAATGAGTGACACAAAATCGCCGTCATCATTATGAAATGCATAAACATACATACAACACAATTTTAACTACTTATAATGACAAGTTGTATACTTTTGAATTTGATAGTAAAATCAAGCCGAACCATAGTGACAATGATAATGTTGATGATGTGATTCATTAGTGCTTCTGAATTAAGTAAGTTAACTTTGTGTTGTGCATGAATTTCTATTAGAAATACACAGTACAATGAATAAATTAATTCAGACGAATCCCAATTAATTTTACTAATTCACTTGATATTCTGTGAAAATTCACATTGAAAGTGAAAGATACATTGACTCACATTTATTACCAGTTCATACAGCATACACAATATCATCATCTCAGTGAACAATATTGAAATGTTATTGTCAAGTGAATCTTGGACTAAAGTATTCATCCTGTGCAATTGTAGTTTTGTAGTAAGTATCATTACATGTGTTCGCCTCATATGGTGGTTCATTTCATCTTACTTATACAATCCAGGTGTTCGGTGTTGTTCTGTTAGCACTCGGAATTCAACCACAAATCACATTAAATCAATTCAGAACTATACTACAAAATGCGAAACCAGAGATCTTCCTGGCTGTCAGTATCTCAGGAGGTCTCGGTGTACTAGGATCATGTGTTGGAATTTATGGACACTCGAAGAAACAGAAAGTGATCATATATATGGTAAGTGATACGTGCAATATGGACAAATGTATTTCACTCATATCTCTGTTTAGAACATTGTCGTTTTGTTTATCGTGACTTGTATGTGGATCGGTATGGCATTTAAAGTAGCTTTAACGGAAGACAGGGTTTGTTTGATATAAAGTGAACCTAATGTATCGTGACACACTGATCTTCATATCATTATAGTTCCCTACGTTAGTTAACAGTTCACTAAGTACTACTGTTAAACAATATGAGAAACGAATTGATTGTCAAATGGAGTTTGATCAATTACAAAAGAGTGTAATTTATAATCAAATCCAAAATTCTGATGACTTCTTCTCTATAGTTTTTCTGCTGTGGAGCGTCATCATACAAAGACTATCCATTTAATCCAAGGATACTACAAATACCTTCTTCATGTAAATACGCCAAATTCGCATATCCTAAAGTAAGTCAATATTTTTGCAAATTTTTAACCAATTACCTTACCTGATTTCATCACTTTAACAATCCCCATAGAATATTCACTTTTGTATTAACTTACGGTTTACAACCAAATACTGAATATTCAGCTCACTCACTAGGAACACGTTGAATCAACTGTCATGTGGAATAATTTTATTTATTGAGTAGAATTTCAACCGCGTTTTAACAACATTTGTTAACATGTTGCTAAGTGATTTCCAATAAAGGATTCATCGCATAATGCTATTCATCTAGGCAAATACAATCATCCTGATTACGTGGTTTTCGATGACACACATGAATATCTATAAGAGTTAAGTATTTGAAGAATAGGTGAAATTTTATCCATTGAAGTTGTTGTCACTACTAACACTTCAATACCTCTCATCAGCACACTATAAGTCAGTCATATTAGTAAGTGACTAGTGGTAAAATCAAAACCATTAACTCAAACTCAATGAACTACTCTACCGACACAACAATAGATTGTTCTCTGTGACAAGACAGCTCTGCATTGTTCTCAGTCTTATTCTCATTCACAACAACATCACAGTCTAATCACTTTCACTACGCTTCACATTTCAATTATCCATGTAGATTTATTGAATGAATGATAGACATTTCATTGTAATTCTCTATTCACTTTTTCTCATCATTTCATCAAAGGGATGTGTATCAGCGATAATTGAATATACACAAACTTATCTAAATATAATCATGTATCTATGTTTCACATTCGGGATTATTCAAGCGGTCTACTTGATATTGTCGTTTCTGAGAATACGTAAATTTGAAGGTGACGATTTTCTATCTGCATAATTGTCTGATTGAGACCAAATGTTGATAAGATATTCAATGGAACCGAATGTCAATCAAACAACCGAATCATTGACTATTCATTACTCATTCTATTGTCATTTGATCTTACTTATTTGTACACCATTATACACTATTGTTATCAACTGAATAATGAATTTCTTCATTATTTTCTTTGTTTAAATCAACTTGTTACTGGGAGGTGTTTCGAAAGAAAACAAACAAAAATGAGAAACGTTTATTCTCTTTAACACAATCGATAGGATATTTCAACTAGAGTATATCAGTCAATCAGATTCGAAGTGTTCATACAACGAACACAAGGTACTTGATCGAAAGTAGATTATTATTATTATTATCATGAGGTATTGATTGGATTTCAAGATAGATGTTTATCATCTCTTCAGAGTGTTTATTGTGAAGGTGTAATAGCAACCGTAGATCGATCTAGTTGTGGTTATTGAGAGTTGCATTGTGACTGAATGATGGAAAGTCATTGGTTGACTATAACACTGAGAGCATTGTGGATTGATTGAGCTTTAGAAGTAAAACGATAGGCTTATTTTTCTTTGAAATTCTACTCGTGACATTTCGTCACAATATCTGTTGAGCATAGTTGGAGATGTGAAAACCACACTGCAATGGAATATACACTATTGATATAACATGACTTAGACTACACACATTTTATTTGTTAATGCAAAAACATTGACAACTTACGTTGTATTGATGTACCAACTAAGTTCCCACATCGTTCCACTTGTTCAATGTGTACGAAATCATTGTTCAATACTGTAATCTATCAGACGTCTTTTTAAAATTACACTTCTGATGACTACATTTCGACCGTTTTAAGGACTTAAGAATTAACAGTGCTACAGGTTTGAATGACAAGTAGATATAATACAGTTATGATTTGTAAATCGGAATGTTAACAACATAATATCAAAATAATAAAGGTCAGTTCAGTGAGGAGTTGTCTCTTCGTTGAATTCATTTTCAATGCCGTACAATTGCTAATATATATACTTATTTTACAGGATGTTAATAATGCTCATTTAGTATTGGCTTCCTTGTATTTTCCCATAGAGGTTTAAGACTGTAATTTATCAGTCTGTTATTGGCATATGTGCATACTGTGAGTATGCCTCGATATTGCTTCAATTCATAAGTTTTTTTTGCAATGATGGATAGTGGCTAGCAGTGGAATCCAGTTTGACGTGCACACAATTCTGCTTTTCCAAGTTGTATGGCTATTGCAAAGAAGATGCAATTTAATTGTCTTTGGAAGACTTCTACTTCTTTGTAGATGACTTTGAATGCAGAGTCTGTCTTGATTGATTGACCTGTTTTTGGTGGTGTTTTGTTCTCTGAGCTGGATGGTTTGGTCGTGGAGCTTTCATCGTTCTTCTGAACGACATCATCAGCACAAACTTCAGATAGAAGTGAAGTGTTCGAATTTCTCCATGTGTTTCACAGCTTGTTCTGTGCACCTCGATGTTGATTGGTTCTTGTTGACCTTAAATCTATCATTGTTTACTTCTTTGTTTTGGTTGTGTCTCCCATTGGTTTGATTTTTGTTCCTATATTTATGCATGATTTTCCTGATTGGTTGGTAAATTGGATTGATTTCAATATGTTTGTTGATTGAGAAATTCGAACACTTCACTTCTATCTGAAGTTTGTGCTGATGATGTCGTTCAGAAGAACGATGAAAGCTCCACGACCAAACCATCCAGCTCAGAGAACAAAACACCACCAAAATCATCCACCTGAGCTACAAATCTTCTCCACCATCTCAAAATCATATGATTGACCTGTGTTCACAAGGTGTTCGAATATTGAACTTTTTATTGAACCGTTTCCTTCTATTCTTAGGCACGCCGACCAAAGTTCTTGAATTCTTTCGGGTAAATTAAGCATAGTACGACCTATATACCTAGCTCCACATGATCAGGAAAATTAGTAAATCTATCTTTTGACGAATATTTAAGCCATTTACAATCAAATGTTTATTAAGTTCACCTTGTATATAAATGCTTCTCATACACTTGTTTATTTAACCTCACTGTCACCATATCAAACAGAAGTTTCTAATCAATATTATTATTAGAATGAACATCAACTCTGAGATGTAGGTGCATCCAGTTGACGAGTCCCAAATAGCACGAAACGCGCATCAAACTAGATTCCACTGCTACCCACTATCCATCTTTGCTTATAAAAGCTTGTGAATTAAAGCGATATCGAGGCATACTCACAGTATGCACATATGCTAATAACAGACTGATCAACCGCAGTCTTAAACCTCTATAGGAAAATACAAGCAAAACAATACTAAGTGAGTATTATTATCATCCTATAAAATAACTATATATATTAGCAATTGTACGGCATTGAAAATGAATTCCACGAAGAGAGAAGACTTCGCTTAACCAATCTCTCATCTTTAATGGCTTATAGCTGCATTTCGTTTACAATATTCAAAAATGTAAAACTAAATTCCAACTAATACCATCTAATAATTACTATTTGTATGTATATATGCATGCACATTGTAGAGGTTACCTAAGCTGCGTGCAATCTACATTTTGAGCATAGAACTATAATTTATTAGTTAAAGAAACAATTTATTTAGTTTAGAGGTAAAGTTGATGGTTGAGCGAAATCGTTACTTGGAAATTACATCACGGTTTTACATTTTATCAAGATGTATGGAATCTTACTACCGAAATACTGATTCATCCTGTTACGTTTGGTTCTATGTAAATCAGTGAGAAATCAGTGATGTTATCATTCGCTGTAATTGATGAACAATGATGAGATTTCAAAATTAGCTTTCTCAATGCCAAAATATCTCATAATCCACGCAGTGTGGATTGTGTAATGAAAGACTCTAAAATTATGTAAACTAGTTGGTAGTACAAATATTCCAGTTTCAATTCACTTCTGAAAGAAAATTGCATGGCACTGAATTCACCAACCAATAACATTCAAAGCAATTGGTTTATGGAATTCATTACTACTTATTGCTCGATTAATATGGAATGTTGTGTTTTTTATTGCCTAGTTGAATGTTCAACACTTCCATAACTGACATGGATTGTAACTTGAAGAGAACACACATTCCTACCATACATCAGTGAATTTACAATAAATGTTTCACAAACCAATCAAACAAATAATGAATAATCTTGATTGTGCGTTGAAATAGGTCAACCGTATCGACAGATATTCATTCGTCACTAACTCTTGGAAACAGTCACTAGTGAGTATATGATGATTACAATCTGAGAGGGGTTTTTCGGAGATTGTAGTAATCTAAAAATCGAATTCATGATTCATTGGAATCTAGATCACCGTCGAACACCTCGGTTTGAATGTCGAGGGGCATGATCTGGAATGTGCACTGTTGAAGAGTTCCATACTAGAATGAAACGGCCGTCCATTGCTTACAGGTTTTTCATGGTGGTCTAGCTTCAATTGACTCATCAGATCAATTATTGAATTACTAAAATGTCCGAAAAACCCCTCTGTTTACTGAAAGATTATATTGTGTATAACGTTGTATGAAATCGGGAAGGAATAATTAAGTGGAGTGTAAGCAAATCAGAATAATCTCGTGTTTGGTAGATGAATATTGATGTTATGTTGTTTCATATGACTATATCGAACAGAAAAGTGAAGAATATGTTACGAGAGATATTTGTTGACGTTGAGTTTGCGACTGAATA